GGTGTTTTTCCAAAAAATATCACATGCGCCAAACGTGTGTGTGCACGGTTCGTCCCAGTGCCAGGGTGTTATTCCAAAAAATATCACATGCGCCAAACGTATGCGTGCACGGTTCGTCCCAGTGCCAGGGTGTTATTCCAAAAATTGTTACATGCGCCGAGTGTATGCGCTCCTGGTTCATCCCAGTGATAACTTTTCTGAAACGTTTGTCGACCTTTAAAAATGGTGAAGTGGTGAAACACCTAAACATGATACTCAGTATAATAAAATAAAAATCACAGCCTCGGTCAACAATGCTTCCTTGGGGTGAAAATATGCAATATCGCCCTCTCATGAATGTGATATTTATATACTATTAGATTGCCATGAAACTCTAAATGCATTATCATTGCCATCATTTCTTGTGAAAGTTCACGTTGCAAACTTTCTAAGTTATAAACAGAATATAATGACGTCATCAACCTGAAGTCGCTCTATACATGTACACTTACATGTTGCTTCTCTTATCACTTCAAATCGCGATGATTGTAGTGTCGTCTATGCCGTTTTTTCACATAAACAGTATAATATTTTAGCTTCTGTGTAATATGTGATAGGCTACGGGTATATATGGTTGCTTTCTCCTCATTAATTTGCAACAAGTGACAGAATAATCAGGATTTTGTTTTCAAACATCAGTCCGTAACAGGCGACAGAATAGAAAAGAAAATGCCAAAAACCATCACCCTACATTTGTAAAAGCCAAGTCAATGTTTAATGTGAGCAATGCATTTTCAACCCACTGATTCCACACAAAAAAATGTATCTGTAGTGTTTTTATTCATATTTGGAGTTGACGTTTACTTTAGAACTATAATTTCAGTAATGTAAGAATAACAATACATAGCCTGATCACTACTGTTACGATTGCGGGACTACGCGCTCTGAAAATAGTTCTTTAAAAACATTATTCTAAACGTTCTCACTTTAACCAATCATATTTAATATGAATATTCTATCAATTTAAAAAACAAAAAATATTTTCTTGAAATTAAAAACAAATAAAGTAAAAGTAATGAATTTGTTTGATATTTCGGGTTTTTTTTACAGTGGGAAACGGGTATGAAGCAAGCTGTTGCTCGGATGTTGTTCTAGTTATTGACCTGGTCTCGCCGATAATAACGGGGAATTTTGAACCGTAAGACAAAAGATCAATCGTAATTGCATTACAATTAAAAATATAAGCAGAAAAATGCATGGATGTTGCAGACCTTCTAGTATAATGTCACATGCGTCGTATATATAGACAACTGAATGGTGCGCTTTGTCAGCGACACATGTGGCAGTTATTCCAGAATGTCTGCAACTACTTCATATTATTGCAGTATGGTATGATGTGTAAAGGTTTAACTTGGACACTGACGAATCAAATTCTTCAAACAAATACATGGAAACGTGTTTTTGAAGATTGCCGCCATCTTGTATTTTAGACGGACCAAAAAATAACAACATTTAATCAACATCACCCATGGACCTTTCCTTTTAGGTATCAGATAAATATAAAAAGCTGGAATGTAAACTGTTGATAGAAAACCTCTTAAAGTGTAATTTTAATGGTTGTCATAATCGCGATGTTGAATTTGAAACAAACGCCGAAAATTAACAGAATTTGTAGGCTATCGTGTTTGGTTTTGGCTTAATAATAAAATCTCATTTTGAGGCAGACCTAGCACGGAGTCAGAGACACCTCCATGAAGTTGATTCCTAGTTCCTAGTTCCTTATTCCATTACTTATTCGATTCCCTGATTACTTATTCGATTCTCTGATTACTTATCAACACAATGGATGGTTCGAATAGTACATGGTGTATTATTACGCTGTTTGATGATGTATTCAACCGTTTCACTTCCATACTAAGTGGGCATTACTTATTCGATTCTCCGATTACTTATTCGATTACCTGGTTACTTATTCGATTCCTACTTACTTATTAACATTATAAATGCTTCAGAATGATTCATTACGCACCTTGTTGATCTATTTAACCTTTCACTTCCATACTAAGTGCTCATTACTTATTAGATTCCGTAATTACTTATTCAATTCCCTGGTTACTTATTCAATTCCCTCATTACCTATTCGATTCCTTCTTACTTATCAACACAAAAGATGGTTCAAACTGCATTATTACGTACTTTGATCTATTTAACCTTTCACTTCCATACTAAGTGCTCAAGCCACGAAAAAAGTCTATAACGACTGTGGTTACCGGTTACATAATTTCTAATCAGGCGTTGCGGGAATGTTTTGTAAATGTGCCATATAAAATTATTTTTGAAATGACCCCTGTATTTGCTTGTCTAGGTCTCTGTCTCCACGCTCCGTGCTAGGTCTACCCCAAAATGAAAAAGGTCTAATAAGACAAGTAGGACGTCAGAAGCAGATTTAATTGCGTGTGTTTTAAAGATGACCGCAATGTCAGTCATCTTGGATTCGGAATGACCCGAAAAATAACAACATCTGTCAGGCATACTTTTGTAATCACTTCTGACAAGTTTTGAACAGGAGACACAGAGGGCCTGTATCTCTCACCTAGCTGTTTCTTTTGTTATATGAAACTGACATATCGGTAACTTCAGACCAAATTTGGTAACTAGAAAACAAGACATTTTAACATAGATCTCTTAAACGGTTCCAAAGATATTGTTGTTTGAAATTTGAGTGAATTTTAATTTTAAAGCTTTTAAACCACGTTGACTTTTGGCTTTGGTAAACACTGAAAGTTGACCTATTACTGTAATAAAGAAAACGATTCACACAGCTGGTCAACACAACATACCCAAGTATCAGGTCTCTAGACCAAATGGGTCTTAAGATAGCATTGTTTGAAGTTTTTGACATATTTGACCCCTGTGACCATGAAAGTAGGTCAAGGTCATTTTAATATGAAAACTGTATAGCATTTCATTCCAGGTACCTACTGGCCAAATAGCATGATCCTGAGCCTTATGGAATTTGAGAAGAAGAATGTTACAGCGTTTCATCCATGTTGACCCTTGACCCCCAACTAGCATCTAAAGCTGACCTTTGACCTCATTACTGTTATTGAGAAAAAGAATCGCACTGCTGGTTTACATAACATACCCAAGTATTATGACTCAAGTCCAAATAGTTCTTAGGATATTGTAGTTTGAAGAATATTTGACCCCTGCGACATTGAAATTATGTCAAAGTCATTTTAATGAGGAAACTTTATAGCACTCCATCCCATCTACCTACTGGTCAAATATCGTGACCCTAGACCATCCAGTTCTTCAGAAGAAGTTGTTCAAAAGAAAAAGTTGACATACAGACGGATTACGGACGGACGACGGACGCCGCTGTACGGCATAAACTCACATGGCCCTTCCATCGGGCCAGATGAATTAATAAACGTTCGATATGTGTAAGTGCGGACAACGCACGGACGGCGCACGACATGTTCAGGTCATCGTTGATAAAAAAAAAAAGACGGCATGGTGAGACCAACCGTGTACTAGTGTGATATTTGATACAACTATCAACGCATGCAGTAAAAGTTCGTATACCTACATGTACTTACCAGGTCAGTTGCTTTCGCCGGTTTCACAGGCACACTACACACACTCAACAGTTATAGCATTCATAGCGGTGTCAACCGAAATTTCTCCCTCTGTAAAAATATCTCTTTATTTCAGTAACAGATATTAATATTATTTGCGGATCACAAACATTTCCTGTGCCTAAAAATCAATCATCCTAGCATCATTTCTATCGGCGTTGAAGATAAAGTTCCTTTACAACAGAAATATTCTTGCCCCCGTTCCTCTCTGTGTTCTCGTATCTTCGTATTCTCCAACTAAATAAGAAACATCTGTTTTGTCTTACACCTTTGGGCAGTTAATTTGTTGCAGTATTTCAAACTCAGAACCCTTTTGACAGTTAGTAACTTCTCTCTGTTTGGTAGTTAAAAATATGGTCCCGTCCTGAGATCGCCCTTTGATCTGCTAGGCAGAACTTGAAACACCTTAGTGGTATATATGCATTTCTAGAAAATATCTTCCCCTTCTGTCGGTTTCTTCTTGAAATGGTGCTTCAAACAGCTCAGGGGTAAATTATTGTTTCATTATATATCAGTGAAACCTTCCGAAATCAATTGCTTTTTCTATATCCGGTCGCTACTATATTAAAAAAAAAATAAAAAAATCTTCAATCTGAAAAAAATATCAAAGCATCGCTCCAATCCGCGACAAACACTAACATCACCGTGTCACGAACAAGACAAAAGCAATTGTATTTAGTGTCGTACATATAAAACAGAAACATAGTTCCGAACAGCTATTATTATCACAAAACATAAGAACAAAAAACAACAACAAATACAAAAAAGCGAAAGTGAGCGTAACCCATGGAGTATCGAGGATGTCAAACATTAAAATAAGGAACAACTTCTTTTCTCTACGAATAGTAAACTCATGGAACAGTCTTCCAGAGAATGTGATATCATGAATAAATACATTTAAAAACAGTCTCGATAAACACCGGACAGATCAGGAAATGAAATATATAATTACAGAGCTAACATACTCTGTTACACATGTGTTAAGTCCATAACCGAACTGTCATATATATGTGTACACGTATACATTTAAAAAAAAACAACAACACTTGTTTGAGTCCGGTGGAGAGGATCATATAGATCCTGTATCGGAAAATAAACTAACCTAAACTACTACCATGATGAGAGACGTATATATAATATAACGTCAGCAATCCATCAACGTTACGTCAACCCTGAATTTAGCCTGAGACGTTAACATTACATTGTGTATGGGAGAACAGGGAAAGGGAAAAAGAATCATTCACCCCCTTGTGGGTGAGATAGGGGAATCTCAACCCGCGGGAAAAGATTCTTAAGTTGCTAAACGCTCGGCAAAGCCGGATCGCGTTTGGCAACTTAAGAATCTTCCCCTCGGATTGAGATTCCCCTATCCCACCCACAAGGGGTCGAGAGATTCTATTAATCTCATAATAGTAACAATCTCCAATTAGAATCGGAAAGCGGATTATTTTATAGGGTGACATTTTACCCGACACACGACACTCGTACTAGTACACGCGCTGGAGAAGAACACAGGTAAGACGGTTTGTGTTTGTTCACTATTTTAACATGTGTATAAATGCTTGTTTTTAACGCTTTCACCGAAGACAAAAAATAAGGATATGCAGTTCAGTATATGCATAAAATATTTAAACAATTAATTATTGACGCTGTACTTGCGTTTTATCGCATAATTAGTTGCAGATGTACATATCGCTGTTTAGAATAAGCACTGTAACGCGTACATTTTGTAAACATTAAAGGGACACATGTCTATTAAAGTAAGTCGATGATATACAGAGTCGGAATAACTATAGAACACGTGACAGTGGCGGATACATGGAGGTGATATTTAATGTACACTACCTCATCTCATTTTTGATTTATTGACTTGTTCATTACGAGAGGGGGGAAGGAAGTGAGAGAGAGAGAAAGAAAAGATTAGGTAAAGAGAGAGGAGAGAAAGAGAGATAGAATTAGAAATATGTAAAGTAAAGAGGATGGTACGATGGCCGAAGGCGGCCAGGCACATTTGAAGCATTTATACTTCGTTTCTGTACCATGGTACACTTTCGTGTGGTACACAAACGAAGCATTTATACTTCGTTTCTGTACCATGGTACACTTTGGTGTGGTACACAAACGAAGCATTTATACTTCGGTTGTGTACCGCGTTACACTTTTGTGGTACACTTCTGCGTTACAATTTTATTGTTCGTTTCTGTCCAATTGTACAGCCGAAAGCGGCCATGGTACACTTTTAAACGGGCATTGGCCTATTGACCTCGCCAGCGTTTGGAATGTTCATCATTCGAAAGGTTATCGCAGTAATAGGATATGAAACCAAGGCTTACGCTCTGGATATTTTTAAACCCAAACATGGGCCCATTTGGGGGTGGAAGAGACTGTGGTAGCCGTCAAGTAAATCATCAAGCAAAATAGCATAAGGTCACGTATCGGTATATATAACAAATTTAAACGACAAATGCATATCGCTTTTAATCTCGCTATGCATATATTTCACATGATAATTAACATATTTTTTATCTTAACATTTTTTTTTTTTTTTAATAAACAAGACGTATCCTGTATGAGCCCTCCAAAGAAGAGTTACGACAGACCTCAACTTTCCACGGCGGCAACCCGTTATGTTTTAATCGGAAAATTAATAGCTCAGGGTCATTTCCTATCAGTGGCCGCTCTCGGCCACACAATAGTGTACCGTGGTACACAAACGAAGTATAAATGCTTCGTTTATGTACTACAAAAGTGTAACGCGGTACAGAAACGAAGCATTTATACTTCGTTTGTGTACCACAAAAGTGTACCGTGGTACAGAAACGAAGTATAAATACTTCAAATATGTCCGGCCGCTTTCGGCTAACGGTACAGAAACGAATGATAAATGCTTCGATTGTGTATCACACAAAAGTGTACCGTGGTACACAAACGAAGTATAAATACTTCATATATGTCCGGCCGCTTTCGGCTAACGGACCACAAACGAAACATAAATGCTTCAAATATGTCCGGCCGCTTTCGGCTAACGGTACCGAAACGAAGTATAAATGCTTCGATTGTGTATCACACAAAAGTGTACCGTGGTACACAAACGAAGTATAAATGCTTCGTTTCTGTACCACACAAAAGTGTACCATGGTACACAAACGAACTATAAATGCTTCAAAAGTGCCTGACCGCCTTCGGCCATCGTAGGATGGAGACTGAGGTAGAGGGTTACCGTACACATATTACGTCAACACTGGCTATTATTTCTATAGGGATATTAAGCAAAAAGGAAAACAAATGATGGGTCATTTCTTTTACTTATTCTTTATTAATAAAGTTAGGTCTTCGTTCTATGAACAAATCATATTTATTTTATTGGTTCTTGCTAGACTTTTTGTTAAAATTTTGTTACATTGCATGAATATATTGTATACAATTCAGGCGCGTAGCTGCCTATACGGGAGTACGCAGTTGAATCCACATGATTCTGACAAACAAACAAAAATGCAGCTAAAGTTGCCTTATGCGTACTTGACTGCATGCTTATATCAAACGTTTCTTGTCGTTTCTATACTAAATAGCCATTGAAGACACCTGCTCAAGAAGATGCCATATTTGATGCATTTCATGACGACTTTAGTGGAGATCGTGAAAGCTTCAGACGTGAATTCGAAAGTTGCCCGGTCTTTGGAAGAAACAAAGCCTTCTGACCTTAGTGCAACATTTACATAAGTCTGGTAGTGTGGCTTATTACCATGCCGGTCTCAACAGTCTCAACTGAGAGGCAGTTCAGTATCATGAGAAGGGTGAAAAACTACATGAGTTCCACTATGTCCACTGAACGTCTGTCTGGACGAGCAATGTTGCATAGTTAGACAAATGGACATTGACATTGAAAATATAAAAATACAGTGAGTTCGCTGGCAAAAAGGACGGAAAATTATACTTCTGTTAGATAATCTGGGTATTATTAACATAATCGGGGCTCGTATTTGTTTGCTATTTTAGCTCTATTTAAGAGAAAAAATATGCCGAGTAAAGGGTTTATTTGTTGATTTAAGACCCTAAAACTTTCCATTTTCGAGTACTAAATAAAGCACCTCAGAATGCCCAGAATGCACCAGATTGCACCATTGTTTTTAAAAATGTCCAGGGGGCCAGGCCCCCGGACCCCCCTAGCACAGTTATGAATCCACGTTAATAGAGGCCTAGCTACGCCCTTGCAATTTTTGAGTATCCAAAATGTACCGGTTTGTGCAATTTAGCATTCCCTTTTCAGAATAGAAGAATACATATCCTCTGTCGTAACAATATCGTTCCAATATCAAGCTATTGTCTGTGGTATACATGTATCAGATCAAATTTCATCCCATAGCATTGCATCTTCAAAACATCACGTTCCTAAAATTTAGACAATCCTAAACGTACGATTTCCCATAAAACTAACTGTAAGTAATTACCAAAGTTAAGGTTTTATAGCAGAAGGTCTTTTCCTTAACCCATATATATATATATAGATAGAAAAAATAAGATTAACGACCGACTAAAAAACTAGCTGCTTTCACCCTTCACATGGCTCTTCAGGTTTATTCAAAAGAACAACGTCGTAACGTCACAATTACCTGTCATCACACTACAATAGTAACGTGACGTCACGAAGTACACAAGATTGGTGGACAATTTGGCGTAAAATTTTACTGTGGCCTGTTGAGACTTGGTTTTAATATTTTGATTAGTTGGTCTTCTTTTGTTTCTCTGAAAATAGGGTCTGATGAAAATAGTTGATACAAAGGTAATACAGTCGAACCTCGTTAATTCGAACTCGTATAACTCGAAGACCCCGTTTAACTCGAAGTATTTCATCGGTCCCGGCCAACACTCTTCTTAATTTCAGTAATAAAAACTCTGATAAATCGAACTCTGAAAACTCGAAAAACTCGGATAGTAAGGCACTTTTCTAACCAGAAAATGGGTCACAGTGTGCGGTCATGCGTAAATACGCTCCACAGTAAAAATCACAACCTAGGACTGGTTCGTTGGTTTATCTTTTTAGAGGAGCTTGTATGGCACTGATAATTAATTGAGAGATAATAGGAACAATACGATAATTATTGTTGACTACGTCGTGTTAAGGAGATGTTGAGGAGATGTCAAGTGTCATTGGGGTCTATAAATGTGGACATGTTTCCTGATTAACTCATACCCATTTCGGAATGTCGAAATCAACTGAGCAATCCAACGTGTACAAGTGTACGCTCCAATACAGTGATTTGTATAAAGACTTTCGCACTTTTATTTCCGCATTGAAATTTCTATCAGCATAGCACGATGTCGGAGACAGAATGTGTGTTTATTGTAACATTAACTAATTAATGAATATGATAATGAATAAGTTGTTATTTTTTATTTTATATAGTTATCTTTTTGTCATTTATCGACTGTTTAAATACGTTGATTGTCAGAGAAATCAATGACATATATAGCCTCATATTGGACAAAACACTTTACCAAGCTTTATGCCAACCATAGGAACGCGTTTAACTCGAATACTCGGATAACTCAAAGTTTCCCAACTATCCCGTCGACTTCGAGATGACGAGGTTCGACTGTATATTAAATTTATCTCCAGCACATTCATGAATATGTTTGTTAACATGAAGATTTCGTAAAGAATCAGTTCTAGTTTGTTGTCTATGTACAGTCATACGTGTTCGGGAGTTCATTACCGGTTTGACCGACGTAAAAATCATCACATTTAGAACAAACTATTGCATAAAATTGCATTGATGAGCATACAGCCGGAGCTGCCATTTCGGCGCTAACAGCTAGCATTCAACAATTCTAGCACTACCCAACCACGTACTCAATTACAACTGAGTAGACTGGAACAAGCGAAGTAAAGTATCTTGCCGGAAGATACAACACAGTGCCGTGCCGTGACTCGAACCCGCAACCCTTCGGTCATGAGCCCGGCGTCCTACCACTTGACTACCGTGCCTCCCAAAAACGTGATTTAGTTAGGGCGAAGTCGAGAATTCAGGTTAGGGATTAAAAAGGGAAGGTTACACTTTGGTACATGTGTAACGTCTTTATTATTGAATATTTGTTTTTGATTTGTAGAATTATAGAGAATGGAGACCGATGCTTCAGCAGACAGTTGTAGCTTTATCAAAGGTAAGTAACTCGTAACTAAATATGACCCAGTCTGAGTGATTGATTAAATTTGTTTCTCTGCAAAATGATACAAGGCAATCGGAAGCCGGTACATATATATATATATCGTAATAACAACAAGGTCAAAGCTATGTCGTAATAACCACACCAGGAGTCTGAAATTCTGTCAAAAATTTATAATAACAGTAATACAAAAATAAACTGTAATGTGCTTTTTTTTTAAAGAATATTATAGGCATGTTTTGTTGGTTTTACTGTTATAATTTAATTTTGACAGAATTTCAGGCTCCTGTGTAACGACACAACTATGTCTAAATAACGACTTATAACAACATAGTAGTAAGTCGTTATTTCAAGATAGTAAGTCGTTATTGCGAGATAGCTATGATGTTTTGACAAGATATTAAATCGTTATTTAAAAATTGATCTTCATTTTGACGTCGTATACCGTAGTATATTAGCGTATACGCAATGAAAAAAGGCTAGGCGAATTGATACCTGTTTTAAATATGGCGCCCTTCTCGCTTCAGCGCGATTACTATTCGATGAAGCCATTGTTTGGTTCCTTCAACATCTAGAAACACGAAACATATGCGGGATCCATAATGTCTGATTATACAACAAAGGGATACTGGCAAACGTCTTATTCCATGGATGGACATTCAGAATTCTTTGACGGTAAAGTAAAAATGGCGGCTTCTTTTTGCGACGTCCGACCGCGTCACTACCAGAGTAGTGTGTCAATGCGAGTATCTATTATTATCAGTATCCGATATCTAGTGGTACATGTATTAGACTTGGGATTGTTTTGATATTACAGCCGGACCGATAGTTGCCGGTACAGACGCCAACGGAGGACACGCGCATAGTCATGGAAACGAACACGGTCACACCCACGAAATTATGGACGGGCCCGGGAGGTACACAGACCGAGACGTACCCCTCACGCGCACGGACTGGATTGAGGTCAGTAAACTCAAGGTCAAAGTAAATTCTGTATTGATTTAGGTCAGGTTTGTTGGTGGGATGTTTGGTCTATAGCTTTGAGTTAGTTAGGTCTATTGGTTGGAAGCTACGACTAGTACAGACATTGTTACTTTTCCCGCAATCACAAAATTTAAGGAAATGTCTCTCGAGCGTCCTAACAAGCATACCTGATTAAGCATTCAGTTGATTTGAACTGTCTAAAAATTCTTGGTGATTGAATCTCCGCGACCTCTCGCATCTCGTGTATCACGTCGTCCTGTCATCAGACACCTCGCTATTCATCAAATGTTTATGGCATAGCGTTTTGCCATTAGAAGATGAGGCTAAGAGGTAATAAGCATATCCTCCCCAGCGCAACTGTACTAAAAAAATCAATTGGCGTTAAAAATATGAAAAGTGGAAAAACCCAACGAGTAAGTGTACATGTTATATGTGATTTGTTTAATGTTTACAATCAGCCGAAGTAATTAAACGGGTAACCGAAAAATACAGCTTTGTCATCCTGTTATAACACAGGTGATAGATTTACAATTCAAGATGGCGTCGTAGTAACGGAGTTTTCAGTTACACCAAGATGGCGTCGCCTTTGATGACGTCATCGAGTTTCGGCTGATGTTAGATTACCTTAGCTAGGTGGCGGTCTAGTTTTCATGTTTACGTTAAGTTTTTGGCTTGTCTAGGTTACGTTGTATCATAAATTCTATCCGACCCACGGGTCTAGATCGCTTACACGCGCAGACTGGCGTTGGAATTATGGTGACCTTTCGGGGTCACGATATTGTTCGTGACGTCATTTTATGACGTTTTGGGGTTGGTCATGGTCATTGACGTCACTAACAATTGCCATCCGGGCTTCATATGCAAACGAGAAATGTGCGGACAGTTTACAACTTTACTAGAAGAGCAGCTGTTTTAACGGGTTTTAGGTAATAAACAAGAAATAGAATCCATCCCTGATGTGAGGTAAGGATAAGGTTATTCAAACCCTCGGGATAAAATATTGATGGGATGGATTCTATTGATCTTCCCCTACCTGGAGGGTGAGACAGAGAAATGTCCAACCCAACAGGTGATGGTTTTTTGTTGTCTAACCCAAGGCTCTGCCGAGGGTTAGACAACCAAAGAAATCATCTCAAGGGTTGAGGGTTGTTTGCCGTTGTAAGGGCTGTTTTTGCGTTTTTTTTTAGTTGTTTGGGAGTTGTTTTGTGTGTTTTGGAATTGTTTTGAGTTTTAAATGCATTTTTTCTCATCAACAGTCTTTTAAAAAAAATGATATTTTAGACAATGTTTTAAACAGAAAATCGATATTTTTGACCAAAAAAAATCCAATTGTTTGACGTTTATAGAGTGTTTGACGTTTTAAGCGCTGTTTGGTGTTGTTTGACGTATATTACACGAATTTTTTACAATCTTCTTTCAACCAATTTCACGCACAAATTTTGTATTTATAGGTTGTTTTTTTTTTCTTTAAGCACAGTTTCATATTAATGAATGCCATGTGTGGCATGATTTGGGATTGTTTTAACGTTTTTATCAAGAGGTTTGAATTTTTGTTATGCCAACCTAGCTGACAGTTAACTATTTAAGCCCTCCTTTACTATCCTTACTGATATTTTCCAATTTAAACCTTTCTCTACTTACGTGATTGACAGTTGTCTATTTAAGCCCTCCTCTGCTTACGTGATTGACAGTTTCCTATTTAAGCCCTCCTCTTATTACGTGATTGACAGTTGTCTATTTAAGTCCTCCTCTACTTACGTGATTGACAGTTTCCTATTTAAGCCCTTCTCTACTTACGTGATTGACAGTTGTCTATTTAAGCCCTTCTACTTACGTGCTTGACAGTTTCTTATTTAAGCCCTTCTCTACTTACGTGATTGACAGTTTCCTATTTAAGCCCTTCTCTACTTACGTGATTGACAGTTTCCTATTTAAGTCCTTCTCTACTTACGTGATTGACAGTTGTCTATTTAAGCCCTCCTCTACTTACGTGATTGACAGTTGTCTATTTAAGCCCTTCTCTACTTACGTGATTGACAGTTTCCTATTTAAGCCCTCCTCTACTTACGTGATTGACAGTTGTCTATTTAAGCCCTTCTCTACTTACGTGATTGACAGTTTTCTATTTAAGCCCTCCTCTACTTACGTGATTGACAGTTTCCTATTTAAGCCCTTCTCTACTTACGTGATTGACAGTTTCCTATTTAAGCCCTCCTCTACTTACGTGATTGACAGTTTCCTATTTAAGCGCTTATCTACTTACGTGATTGACAGTTTCCTATTCAAGCCCTTCTCTACTTACGTGATTGACATTTGTCTATTTAAGCCCTTCTCTACTGACTTACAGTTTTCTATTTAATCCTTCCTCTACTGACTAATAGTTTCTTATTTGAACCATTCACTACTGACTAACTGTTTTCTATTTAAAGCCTCTTCTACTGACTAACAGTTTCCTATTTAAGCCCTCCTATACCGACTTACTATTTCCTTTTTTGAACCTCCTCTACAGAGTTTCAGTTTCCTATTTAAACTCCCTTTGTTGAAAAAACTTTGTCTGCCTCCTAAACTACTGGGCCAATTTCAATGAAAGATTACATACAGTATATGGTAATTATCCCCTGATGTCGTGCATCAGGGTAGTATTTTATTTTCATTTTTATCCTTTTTAAGGAGTTATGGCCTTTTGTTAAAAATCTTTGTTATGACATCTCTTCTTTAACTACTAGGACGGTTTCAGCAAAACTCGTTCATCCGGGCTAACAAGATTTGATTTGCAAATATGATTTGCATTGAGAGGGAGAACAGGAAGTATGTGGATAACATTTACACTTAAATAAGTGTACAGCCAAGACAATAAAGAAATATTTACTGATGTGAGACTTTATTGCTTTGAAATGCTTTGCCTCAGTACGCCTTTATCTTACAGTTGTGATTTATATAGGAGCGGGGGAATTAGTTAGCCTTTATCTTACGGTTGTGGTTTATATAGGAGCGGGGGGATTAGTTAGCCTTTATCTTACGGTTGTGGTTTATATAGGAGCGGGTGTATTAGTTAGCCTTTATCTTACGGTTGTGGTTTATATAGGAGCGGGTGTATTAGTTAGCTTTTGGCTTACAGTTCTAGTTAAGTCTTTCTCAACTGTCTTTTAGTTTCCTATTTAAGCCCTCCTCTACTGACTATCTGTTTTCTATTTCAACCCTCATCTACTGACTTACTGTTTCCTACTTAAGCATTGCTTTGCCTCAGTACGCCTTTATCTTACCGTTGTGGTTTATATAGGAGCGGGTGTATTAGTTAGCCTTTATCTTACGGTTGTGGTTTATATAGGAGCGGGTGTATTAGTTAGCCTTTATCCTACAGTTGTGGTTTATATATGAGCGGGGGTATTAGTTAGCTTTTGGCTTACAGTTCTAGTTAAGTCTTTCTCAACTGTCTTTTAGTTTCCTATTTAAGCCCTCCTCTACTGACTATCTGTTTTCTATTTCAACCCTCATCTACTGACTTACTGTTTCCTCTTTAAGCATTCCTTTAATGACTTTTTGTTTCCTACTTAAGCATTGCTTTGCCTCAGTACGCCTTTATCTTTCAGTTGTGATTTATATAGGAGCGCGCGTATTAGTTAGCCTTTATCCTACAGTTGTGATTTATATAGGAGGGGTGGTATTAGTTAGCCTTTATCTTACACTTGTGATTTATATAAGAGCGGGGGTATTAGTTAGCCTTTACCTTACAGTTGTGGTTTATATAGGAACGGGGGTATTAGTTAGCTTTTATCTTACACTTGTGCTTTATATAGGAGCGGGGGTCTTAGTTAGCTTTTATCTTACACTTGTGATTTATACAGGAGCGGGGGTATTAGTTAGCTTTTGGCTTACAGTTCTAGTTAAGTCTTTCTCAACTGTCTTTTAGTTTCCTATTTAAGCCCTCCTCTACTGACTAACTGTTTTCTATTTCAACCCTCATCTACTGACTTACTGTTTCCTACTTAAGCATTCCTTTACTGACTTACTGTTTCCTACTGAAGCACTCCTCTACTGACTTACTGTTTCCTACTAAAGCATTCCTCTACTGACTTACTGTTCCCTACTGAAGCATTCCTTTACTGACTTACTGTTTCCTACTGAAGCACTCCTCTACTGACTTACTGTTTCCTACTGAAGCATTTCTCTACTGACTTACTGTTTTCTATTTCAACCCTCATCTACTGACTAACTGTTTCCTACTTAAGCATTCCTTTACTGACTTACTGTTTCCTAGTAAAGCATTCCTCTACTGACTTACTGTTTCCTACTGAAGCATTTCTCTACTGACTTACTGTTTTCTATTTCAACCCTCATCTACTGACTAACTGTTTCCTACTTAAGCATTCCTTTACTGACTTACTGTTCCCTACTGAAGCATTCCTCTACTGACTTACTGTTTTCTATTTCAACCCTCATCTACTGACTAACTGTTTCCTACTGAAACATTACTTTACTGACTTACTGTTTCCTACTTAAGCATTCCTTTACTGACTTACTGTTTCCTACTAAAGCATTCCTCTACTGACTTACTGTTNACTGAAGCATTCCTTTACTGACTTTCTGTTTCCTCTGAAGCATTCCTCTACTAGCTTACTGTTTCCTACTAAAGCATTCCTCTACTGACTTACTGTTCCCTACTTAAGCATTCCTTTAATGACTTTTTGTTTCCTACTTAAGCATTCCTTTACTGACTTACTGTTTCCTACTGACGCATTCCTCTACTGACTTACTGTTCCCTACTTAAGCATTCCTTTAATGACTTTTTGTTTCCTACTTAAGCATTCCTTTACTGACTTTCTGTTTCCTCTGAAGCATTCCTCTACGAGCTTACTGTTTCCTACTAAAGCATTCCTCTACTGACTTCCTGTTCCCTACTTAAGCATTCCTTTAATGACTTTTTGTTTCCTACTTAAGCATTCCTTTACTGACTTTCTGTTTCCTCTGAAGCATTCCTCTACTAGCTTACTGTTTCCTTCTAAAGCATTCCTCTACTGACTTACTGCTCCCTACTGAAGCATTCCTTTACTGACTTTCTGTTTCCTCTGAAGCATTCCTCTACGAGCTTACTGTTTCCTACTAAAGCATTCCTCTACTGACTTACTATTTCCTACTTAAGCATTCCTTTACTGACTTTCTGTTTCCTCTGAAGCATTCCTCTACGAGCTTACTGTTTCCTACTAAAGCATTCCTCTACTGTCTTACTGTTTCCTACTTAAGCATTCCTTTACTGACTTTCTGTTTCCTCTGAAGCATTCCTCTACGAGCTTACTGTTTCCTACTAAAGCATTCCTCTACTGACTTACTGCTCCCTACTGAAGCATTCCTTTACTGACTTACTGTTCCCTACTAAAGCATTCCTCTACTGACTAACTGTTTCCTACTTATGCATTCCTTTACTGACTTACTGTTTCCTAATAAAGCATTCCTCTACTGACTTACTGTTCCCTACTTAAGCATTCCTTTACTGTCTTACTGTTCCCTACTGAAGCATTCCTTTACTGACTTTCTGTTTCCTACTGAAGCATTCCTCTACTAGCTTACTGTTTCCTTCTAAAGCATTCCTCTACTGACTTACTGCTCCCTACTGAAGCATTCCTTTACTGACTTTCTGTTTCCTCTGAAGCATTCCTCTACGAGCTTACTGTTTCCTACTAAAGCATTCCTCTACTGACTTACTATTTCCTACTTAAGCATTCCTTTACTGACTTTCTGTTTCCTACTGAAGCATTCCTCTACTAGCTTACTGTTTCCTACTAAAGCATTCCTCTACTGACTTACTGTTTCCTACTAAAGCCTTCCTCTACTGACTTACTGTTCCCTACTGAAGCATTCCTCTACTAGCTTACTGTTTCCTACTGAAACATTCCTCTACTGACTAACTGTTCCCTACTGAAGCATTCCTTTACTGACTTACTGTTTCCTAATAAAGCATTCCTCTACTGACTTACTGTTCCCTACTGAAACATTCCTTTACTGACTTACTGTTTCCTACTGAAACATTCCTCTACTGACTAACTGTTCCCTACTGAAGCATTCCTTTACTGATTTACTGTTTCCTACTTAAGCATTCCTTTACTGACTTACTGTTACCTACTGAAACATTACTTTACTGACTTACTGTTCCCTAGTGACTACTGACTTACTGTTCCCTACTGAAGCATTCCTTTACTGACTTACTGTTTCCTACTGAAACATTACTTTACTGACTTACTGTTCCCTAGTGAAGCATTCCTCTACTAGCTTACTGTTTCCTACTGAAACATTCCTCTACTGACTTACTGTTTCCTACTGAAGCATTCCTCTACTGACTTACTGTTCCCTACCGAAGCATTCCTTTACCGACTTACTGTTTCCTACTGAAGCATTCCCTTACTGACTTACTGTTCTCTACTGAAGCATTCCTTTAATGACTTGCTGTTTCCTACTGAAACATTCCTCTGCTGACTTACTGTTTCCTACTTAAGCATTCCTCTACTGACTTACTGTTATCTTATTTAATCCCTTCTCTACTGACTTACTGTTTCCTACTGAAGCATTCCTCTACTGACTAACTGTTTCCTAAACAAAAAAGTATGAAGAAAGTAACACTCCCCTTCTCCTGCTCACTCAGACCCCTATTTCTTGAGATTTGGTTCAGATGTTTAAGAGATGCAATGTGTATTTATAACATAAATGGTTTCGTTGAAACGATAAAGTCTATATATAACAGGGTCACCGTGACCTACTTATCATCTATGTGTGTTTTTTAGTCATGTTTAAATATGCAGCTTTAGTATTAGTAACACACCAAATCATTAAGAAAGTTTGAAACTTTTACTTGTGGTCATGTCAAAATGAGATTTTGGTCCCATACTTAACCTTTTCATATGTTGAAGGGTGCCCAAGCTGATATCTTCACTTCATTTCATATCATGACGACATAACCCTAATGTATATTTATGCAAAAAACACCATATCGATGATAACCCAAGAATGTCCAAATTGGCTCTCCGCCTTTCTGTTTAAACTCTTTTATATTTAACTCAATTGACAGTTTCCTATGTAGGTCCACCTTAATAAATAAAAAATAAAAAGGAAAAGAAAGTCTTTTATTCTTACGTGACTGACACTTAATGAACATTTTACAGCGAGCTTTTACCGTGGGTATCGGAGGTCCCGTGGGGTCGGGGAAAACGGCCCTGGTTTTGGCGCTTTGTAAACACATGCGAGAATCTCACAACATCTGCGTGGTTACCAACGACATTTTCACCAGGTATGGAACCTCTTTTGAGGGGTAATTTTTCTACAATCTACATCAACCAGACAATTTATAAAGTGAACACCTACTCTCACATGTAGACAAAGGCAAGAGTTTCTCGGTCATTATAACCCTCGTCATAGTCATCATCACCTCCTCTATAAACACTGTGACAAGCTTCATCATCATCATCATCATAATCATCACCACCACTATCACCATCATCATCATCATCATACAATATAAATGTTTCATCATGGTTTGTTTTAATTTAGTACGAACGGTTTTGGCACATGTTATAGCAACAGTATCGACGCCGTCTCCAATCATCATACAAAATAAATTAAAGAAATGGCATAAAAGGAACTTAATATGAAAAATGTAGTATAATGAAAGAACTATGTGTATATACCAAATTGGTTTCCAGTAAGTTTAGTTTGTAAACTGATCTTAAACTATGAATATGTTGCTGGTCTTTATGTAAGCATGTCTGACTACTCGTCTCGGATATTGTTTTATGCATCGAGAGTCACAAGGAAAGCGCTATTAGGTGTTCTTGTCAAGTAAATCTTACTCAAAATATATTTTACAAATGTTCATTGTGGTCATCGTCTTGTCCATCCTGTCGTATTTCATATGGAGCTTGCTGGGAAAAAGAGCGACCTGTTTAGTTTGGGTCTCGGGTTAGGGCATGCTATACTCTTATTAGCTTAAAGCTAAATATCATGTTTTTTTTAACTGAATATTGTTTGGTGTAGAGCACCTTTGCCAGTTAAAATAAATGACCTTGACAATTTCAAGGATCTAATATGTTGAAGAGTTCCAATGACTTCTTCTTAAGAAACAAATGTCAGACACAGTAATACAGTTTTCAATGCTTAACATAAATTTCATTAAACCAGTTAAAAGCGATACAGATTTGAAAATAGACACCATTTCAAAGAAGGACGTGTTCTCATATATTGCTGATGATGATGATGATAATGATGATCATATATTGATGATAATGTTTAATGAGGATGATGACAATGACAATATATTGCTATCGATGAGAGGATGACGATAATGTGCTGACGATGATGTAAGATGAGAGTGTATGATGAAATTCATATATTATGGATGATGATGATTATATGTTACTGGGTACAATGATGCCTTTATTGGGTTTGAATGTGTAGATGACGATACTAATGGTGTATGATGATGAATGATGATGATGATGATGATGATGATGATGATGATGATGATGATGATGATGATGATGATGATGATGATGATGATGATGATGATGATGATGATGATGATGATGATGATGATGATGATGATTTTGATGATGATTTTGACGGTGTGATACATTGTTGTTGATGATAATGATAACATTGCTGTAAGATGATGGTGTATGACGATGATTATGATGGTGGCAATATTTTGTCGTTGACGGTGATTATAACAATGACGTTAGATGATGGTGTATGATGGCAATATGTTGCTGTTATTGTTATTGTTGATGATGATGATGATGATGATGATGATGATGATGATGGTGTGTGAGTGTATATATGTATGTAAATGACGTTCTGGTGATATGACGTTGTAGAGAAGACTGGGAGTTCTTGGTTAGGAATAAGGCACTTCCTGAAGACCACATGCGAGCGGTGGAGACTGGCGGCTGTCCACACGCCGCCATTAGAGAGGTAACACACGGATCGAGTTCTAATCAAATAATGAAAACAGCACTGCTGTTAATTACAGCAGCATCAAAACGAAAACCTTAATCACCAACCGTACAGCTAAAGTAGGAGAAATTTAATTGAATACCGCTGTTCAACTTTTGTGTGAATAAGCTTTTTCAAGATTGATGTTTGAATTTCTCTTCACTATTATTGAAGGACTGTCGTTTGAATTCCCTTGATCAACCGTCATATGATCCATAGTTGAATTGTCCTCACGACCATTGACGAACGACTGTTGAAATCTTTTTTTTAAATTGTCATTTGACTAATTGTTCAAGTTATCCTCACAAATTTTCCAAAATATTCAGTTGAATTCCACTGTTTAACTGATATAGAACTACTGGGCAAATTTCATTTCAGCATTGTTTAAGAATGTCTGGCTGCTGAACTTATCTTTATAACTGTTATAGGACTATTCATTGAATATGGAGGAAGTTCGCGAGCTCACAAAGAAGTTTCATCCTAAATTGGTAATTGTGGAATCAGGGGGCGATAACCTAGCTGCTAACTTTAGCCGGGACCTGGCGGACTATATCATCTATGTTATTGACGTGGCGGGGAAGATGTGTATTTTTCTACTATTATATCACCCTCTTTCAGCCAATATTCCATCTTTGCGTATTGCAGAGTTATCTTCTCTTGTGAGCAGGGATTGATTGTTACGTCATTGATTTGTGAGATTAACATCATCATTTTTTGAGAAAACGACGTAATTTTCTCACACAAACCAATGACGTAACAATCAATACCTGCTCACAAGAGCAGATAACTCTGCAATACGAAAAGACGGAATAGATATTAATATATTTTCCTCTTACTGTCGACAGTGTTACTATTAAATCTACAGGACTAGTACGTAATACATCTCACTCTCTTCTCACTCATGGCGTGTACAACGTATTGCACCATCCTCTTACTTATCATATTAGCTTACAATTAATGGGTGTTTTGTTTTATTTACTGTGTCCTTTATTCGTTTGCAATTGATAGGTTTTTGTTTTGTTTTGCATTTTACCTTTGGACATTAAGTTGAAATGTGATGTATGTGTATGTGAGCGTTCTCGTAAATAATTGTTGACGGGTCGTTAAACTTAACGTACACACATAAACAAATCTATCATGTTCTGACTATGATTTGTTTTGAATTGTCTTAATTATGTAAGGCTGAACTACATGTCATATGCACTTTTTACACAGACGAATTTCAAATATCAAGGTAAAAATAATGAGATACTGTGTAACAGGAAAGCGAGTCTACAGCATGAATGTATAATGAGTTGCTTTATTTATCTAGTAAATCATTTTCAGTCAACATTTCTTTATAGTATATTTTGCCACGTACTTTGCCGTTAAGATATTCGTGGTTTTAATTTTTTGTAGTCATGTTTGTTGTATGAAATAACATGCGTTGTTCGAGATAAAATAATGAGATAATGCGCAGTAGTAGAGCGAGCTTACAGCGTGGATATACATTATGACGAGTTACTTTATTTATCTGAGGCTAATTTTCTTCAAGGTGTTTTTGATCATCTACTTTAACCGTAAAGATATTCGCGGTTTTAAATGTTTGTTGTATGCTATTACATGCGGTGGTCGAGATGTTAAATTTCGCGATATCTTGATAATCGTGTAGTAATGATATTTACTGCGTTATACTTTGCGGAGTGACATTCGCATCGAGGAGTTTTGTTAAAATGCCCAGATGTTTGGGCTCTTGATAAAGTCTGTGGTTTAGTAACATATCTTAAATTAAAGTGTTAAATTTCGTGATGTGTTAAATTTCCAGGTGTAAAGATGTTGCTAATTCGGATTTGATGTCCATGTCGAAATGCTTTCTTGCAGGGGGAGACAAGATCCCGAGGAAAGGGGGTCCTGGTATCACACAAAGCGATCTGCTGGTCATTAACAAAACCGACCTAGCTGAAGCTGTAGGGGCTGACCTACAGGTGATGGAGAGGGACGCGGCCACGATGAGACAGGCTGGTCCGACTCTCTTTACCCAAGCCAAACACAACATTGGTGTCCCAGAGATCGCCACACTAATACTCACCGCGTGTACAAACATGACCAGGTCGTAATGTCGACGTGAAATGACACAATTCAGAGAGAGACAAGGGAACCAGTGTTCTTTTCTAACCGAACTGGGTTTTTTTTTCTGTGGAGTGACATTTCTTGAAAGTTTTCCCCTACTCTTTGCATTCTCGAGAAATAACTCCCTAGGCCTCCTTTCAAAAGAACATGGATCCAACATTAGAATATTTGCTCTAATCTGTTGGATCTGAAAATTGTCATAATGCAACTATACACATTTAAAACTTTGTAAATATAAAAATTGTGATATTTTCCGGAATAGCCTTCTATATGGAAAAAAACAGTTACATTTTGTAGTTGGTTACACTTACAATGGAAACGTCATTTTGGGTTATTCTTCTGGTGGCAATTCAAAGAGATGACTGTATTTGCCATCTGAAAATGCCATCGTAAACATTACCTAAATTGATATATCAACCTGCCTATGTCAATTTAATGTCGGTGAAAAACATCTCTTTGAATTGAAATACTACCAATAACCAAAAATGGTGATTGTATTTTTAAGAGTAACCAATAGCAACTAACTGTGCTTTCCTACTTTATAGATGGCTTAAAACACAGATGTGACCATAATCAAGACAGATGGACTTTAAAGTCCCGTTGATACGGTTATAAAGAACATATCACTTAGAGAACCTTCTGGTGGTATATGTATGTACTTGTATGGAGTGATGAATGTGGTAGTCTTTTGAACTCATGAGTATTGGTACTGTACAATGTAAGTCAGCTGACCATAAATGTTGTTATGCCATTGTGTAAGGAGTCAAAAGAATGACGCAAGCTTGACTCATTGTACCATATTAAAGGGAGTACAAAGTACAATGTGTGTGATTCTCACAGATAATGTAGTGAACGCTTATGTATTGTATTATTATTGCTGTCATGTTATCAGGCCATTATTCATTGTAATAAAAATACACCATCACATGACCATTTGTACTTTTAATATGTTATCAAATACAAGAGGCACAGAGGGCCTGTATCGCTCACCAGTTTCTTTTGTTATATATAGGTAACTTCAGACCAAATTTGGTAACTAGAACACAATACATTTTAACATCTCTTAAACGGTTCTAAGATATTGTTGTTTGAAATTTGAAATTATAATTTTAAAGCTTTTAAGCCACGTTGACCTTTGACTCCGGCTAGACCTTTTACTTCATTACTGTAATAAAGAAAACGATTCACAAAGCTGGTCTACATAACATACCCAAGTAGCATGACTCTAGACCAAATGGTTCTTAGGATATTGTTGTTTGAAGTTTTTAACATATTTTACCCCTGTTACTTTGAATCTAGGTAAAGGTCATTTCTATGAGGAAACTTCTTAGCACTACATCCCAGGTACCTACTGGTTAAATGTCATGACCCGGAGCCTTATGGAACTTGAGAAGATTGTTAAAGCTTTTAACCCATGTTGACCTTTGATCCCCACCTAGCACTTAAAGTTGACCGTTGACCTTGCACTGCTGGACTACATAACCCAAGTATCATGACTCTAGTCAAAACGGTTCTTAGCATATTGTTGTTTGAAATGTTTGACCCCTGTGACAATGAAAGTAGGTAAAGGTCATTAATTTGAACAAACTTGATAGCCCTTCACCCCAGCATGCGACAGGGCAAATATCAGGATTCTAGGACTATTGGTTGTTGAGAAGAAGTCACTTATAAATGTTCACACATTTGACCTCTGTGATCTTGAAAGTAGGTCAAGGTCATTCGTTTGAACAAACTTGATAGGCATTCACCCCACCATGCTACAGGCTAAATATGAGGATCCTAGGGATTAGGACAGGTGAGCTAATAAACTTTATTTATTTTACAACAATTATGAAACATGTTTTACAACTTATACTTATCACTCATGAGGCCCGGATGTTGGCGCGCGGGGATCTTACTGGGGAAGGAAACCGGAGTTCCCTATGTGAAAGACGAGTGCGCTATCCACTGCGCCACACGACCACCTTATGATATGTTATCACCTTACATCCTGTGTAGCGTCACAAATCACAATGTTAAGTAAATTGCTGCTAAATGAATTCATCGTCAAAAGGCAAAAATGACATGAACATATGGACATTTGAATACGAAGAGTACCCACAGAATAAACGAAATTAGTGTCCAAAGACAGTGTTGCCAAACCTCGATTAGTCTTTTTGAAGTGACACCCATCTTTAGCGGTATATCCGCCTCTTCTGTCAGCATATTAGATAGGAAATTTTAACAGCTCCCAGGAAATGTTTGATACGCAAATTTCGAAGTTACATGTAGCAGAAACTAAGATGCGAATGTGCTCCCTTTACTATGCCGGCCTGCATGAGATCAGTAAGACATGATCCCCGATATTGCCCTGATGTGTACGTAGAGACTAATCTTTGTCCCAGAGAGCGTTCGTTTATGCTGGCTTTGGCCACTGTCGCCAGTTCCTCGATTACATTGAAGGGGCTTAAAAAAACATTCTATTCTTTAGGCCACGATAGTAACAATTTTCAGTTACCCGTCTTGACCGGGCTGACTGTAGAAGGCATGAAAGCTGAGAAACCAGAATCCAAAAGGATATTTAACACAATGCCGCCTTAAAACCGACAACAAAAATGTTGTCATATTTCTGTCACCCATTCAAGTTTTCAACAGTATCAAAACTGCTTTTTTGTGTATGATTTTGACGTCATTTTCTCCGTCTTGCAACATAAACTGACATGGCCCAACATAATATTAACAATACAGATCTTTCGCACAATAGACACATTTTTCATGAAAATATCAAAATGAACGAGACACACAACAGAGATTAGTTTTATCCGGATAACTCGGTCTACGCCAACGATTTTATCTGGATAACTCGGACTTACACCAACAGTTTTATCCTGATAACTCGGACTAACGCCAACGATTTTATCCAGATAACTTGGACTAACGCCAACAGTTTTATCTAGATAACTCAGCCTTACGCCAACGATTTTATCTGGATAACTCGAGCTTACACCAACAGTTTTATCCGGATAACTCGGATTTACGCCAACAGTTTTATCTAGATAACTCGGATTTACGCGAACAGTTTTATCTAGATAACTCGGACTTACGCCAACAATTTTATCCGGATAACTCGGACTAACGCCAACAGTTTTATCTCGATAACTCGGACTTACGCCAACAGTTATATCTAGATAACTCGGACTAACACCAACAGTTTTATCTAGATAACTCAGCCTTACGCCAACAATTTTATCCGGATAACTCGGACTAACGCCAACAGTTTTATCTCGATAACTCGAATTTACGCCAACAGTTTTATCTAGATAACTCGGATTTACGCCAACAGTTTTATCTGGATAACTCCGACTTACGCCAACAGTTTTATTTAGATAACTCGGACTTACACCAACAGTTTTATCTAGATAACTCAGCCTTACGCCAACAATTTTATCCGGATAACTCGGATTAACGGCAACAGTTTTATCTGGATAACTCGGACTTACACCAACAGTTTTATCTAGATAACTCGGACTTACGCTAACAATTTTATCCGGATAACTCGGACTAACGCCAACAGTTTTATAAGGATAACTCGGACTTAAACCAACAGTTTTAATTAGATAACTCGGATTTACGGCAACAGTTTTATCTAGATAACTCGGACTTACACCAACAGTTTTATTTAGATAACTCGGACTTACACCAACAGTTTTATTTAGATAACTCGGACTTACACCAACAGTTTTATTTAGATAACTCGGACTTACACCAACAGTTTTATTTAGATAACTCGGACTTACACCAACAGTTTTATCTAGATAACTCGGACTAACGCCAACAGTTTTATCAGGATAACTCGGACTAATGCCAACAGTTTTATCTCGTTAACTCGGTCTAACGCCAACAGTTTTATCTAGATAACTCGGACTAACGCCAACAGTTTTATCTCGATAACTCGGACTAACGCCAACAGTTTTATCAGGATAACTCGGACTTACACCAACAGATCTAGATAACTCGGACTAACGCCAACAGTTTTATCAGGATAACGCGGACTTACACCAACAGGTTTTTTCCGGATAACTCGGACTAACGCCAACAGTTTTATCTCAATAACTCGGACTAACGCCAACAGTTTTATCTAGATAACTCGGACTTACACCAACAGTTTTATCTAGATAACTCAGCCTTACGCCAACGATTTTATCTGGATAACTCGAGCTTACACCAACAGTTTTATCCGGATAACTCGGACTAATGCCAACAGTTTTATCTCGTTAACTCGGTCTAACGCCAACAGTTTTATCTAGATAACTCTGAGTAACGCCAACAGTTTTATCAGGATAACTCGGACTTACACCAACAGGTTTTTTCCGGATAACTCGGACTAACGCCAACAGTTTTATCTAGATAACTCAGACTTACACCAACAGTTTTACTTAGATAACTCGGATTTACGGCAACAGTTTTATCTAGATTACTCGGACTTACACCAACAGTTTTATCTAGATAACTCGGACTTACGCCAACAATTTTATCCGGATAACTCGGACTTACGCCAACAGTTTTATCTAGATAACTCGGACTAACATCAACAGGTTTATACAGATAACTCGGACTAATGCCAACAGTTTTATCTCGATAACTCGGACTAACGCCAACAGTTATATCAGGATAACTCGGACTTACACCAACAGGTTTTTTTCCGGATAACTCGGACTAACGCCAACAGTTTTATCTCGATAACGCGGACTTTCGCCAACAGTTATATCTAGATAACTCGGACTTACCCCAACAGTTTTTTTCCGGATAACTCGGACTTACGCCAACAGTTATATCTATATAAATCGGACTTACACCAACAGTTTTTTTCCGGATAACTCGGACTTACGCCAACAGTTATATCTATATAAATCGGACTTACACCAACAGTTTTTTTCCGGATAACTCGGACTTACGCCAACAGTTATATCTAGATAACTCGGACTTACACCAACAGTTTTTTTCCGGATAACTCGGACTTACGCCAACAGTTTTATCTAGATAACTCGGACTAACATCAACAGTTTTATACAGATAACTCGGACTAACGCCAACAGTTTTATCTAGATAACTCGGGCTAACACCAACAGTTTTATCTAGATAACTCGGACTTACACCAACAGTTTTATTTAGATAATTCGGACTTACGCCAACAATTTTATCCGGATAACTCGGACTTACACCAACAGTTTTATCTAGATAACTCGGACTTACACCAACAGTTTTATTTAGATAACTCGGACTAATGCCAACAGTTTTATCTCGATAACTCGGACTTGCACCAACAGTTTAATCTAGATAACTCGGACTAACGCCAACAGTTTTATCTAGATAACTCGGACTTACACCAACAGTTTTATCTAGATAACTCGGACTAACACCTACAGTTTTATTTAGATAACTCGGACTAATGCCAACAGTTTTATCTCGATAACTTGGACTAACGCCAACAGTGTTATCGCCAATAACTCGGACTAACGCCAACAGTTTTATCTAGATAATTCGGACTAACGCCAACAGTTTTATCAGGATAACTCGGACTTACACCAACAGTTTTTTTCCGGATAACTCGGACTAACGCCAACAGTTTTATCAGGATAACTCTGACTTACACCAACAGTTTTTTTCCCGATAACTCGGACTAACGCCAACAGTTTTATCAGGATATCACACTTCCATGGCAATGTTTTCTCTTTTTAAATAAATGTAGATTTGCAACATTTTGCATACAACACACTCCTTTTTTAGAATATCACAAGAAGTCAGTATAAAATGGCAGTGATGATGCAACATCCTTATGTATTTTACAATACTCACCTTCAGTATATGTTTTTTCTAGTTCTGCACTTACGAGCTATTTTTTTTGTAGGACTCCTTCACCTTGGTGTGAAACAAAACATTTGTGTTCATCTTACTGGTGAAACTACTTTAACTTCATTTCCTAACGAACAACACATTCAGTTTAGCAAAATCCCTTCCAGTCCTTGAGGTACATTTGTATATGAGGCCAATGACTGTGACGAACGACTGAATTTAAACGAAAGTGAAGATTTCGAGTTACCAAACCCATCCAATTCTACTACCAGTTAAGATGTCATCTTACAAACGATGGTTTACTAACTGTTTAAACAGGTACACATTGTAATGTGTTCCATGTACTATTCCGTCTTTGCGTATTGCAGAGTTATCTTCTCTTGCAAGAAGGAATTGATTGTTACGTCATTGGTTTGTGTGAGAAAATTGTGTCGTTTTCTCAAAAATTGATGACGTTACTCTCACAAACAAGTGACGTAACAATCAATACCTGCTCCCAAGAGAAGATAACTCTCTTGCAATACGCAAAGACGGAATACCCGTCTGTTTCAATTCCAGCAATGCAGTTAACTATAATAGAAGAGATGTTTTATTATTTCCTATACTGAAAACTGATTATACATTCCTGTAAGAGTGCTTGCATCTTCGGTAATTTTTAAGTTATCAAAATATATAGAGCGGACTTCTACTTAGCAGCATGGAGTTCCGTATCTACGTATATGTATCAATGTTGGCATATATGAATGTCATCTCTTAAATTAAATGAAAATATATTGACAAGAGCATGATTTCTGATCTCTAGCATGGTTTATTATGGGTAAAATACTGCTGTTTCATATCAACATCTGCAACAAACATTGATATATGAAATGGAATTATATTATCAAACAAGAGGCCCATGGGCCTTAACGGTCACCTGATATATATTTATAGAGAGTTGATTTTTGTTTTTAACATGAACAGAAATATCATTCAAAATGACAAAAAACAATAAAACCACCTTATTCAATATCTAGCATGCAGATTTAAGACTTAAGAGTATTTGAAACTAGCACCTCTGATTCTAAACAAGGAAAATTAAGAAATTTTATTTTAGCACACGGACTCCATTGGGCCCCACCCTACAGCCATTGGGGGTAGGGATGGCTCAAAATTTACAAAGTATCAAACTGTCAACTTAGGGTTATAATTCCAATCAAGTTATCAACATGTATTCTAACACGATTCGTTTGCAACGCGTGTTTTGATTGGATACGGACCATGTTGTTGTCTTGTCTTGTTGTAGTGTCTTGTCCTCCTTTCGTATAGGAGCTGTACAGGGATCCTAGAGAGTGATTGGTATATCATATATGGATTAAAAAGTCATAAAAAACACTATTTGAGTTGGTCCATTAAAATTCACGATATGTATCCAATAAAACAGGAACAATGTCCCTCACCACATGCACATGTACACGGTACTCAGGAGTCTGGAGATTTTAAAAGTTATTTACATTAGTATAAGATTTCTAAAAACTGGATCGTGGGCTGCTTGAATTGCTACACTACTTGCAGTGGCATAATGTCTTAAAAATGCTAATACAGTTAAAAGCTAAAAGCTAGGTATAGTCACTAAAAGCATTTAGAGAGCACTAAAGAGCACTACAAGTGGGTATTAAAACACAGCAAGCGGTATGGTAAAAGCCCTGAAGCAAGTCCACTAGAAGCGTGCGGTTAAGAATGTTATAAGTTAAAAAGACAGTTTGACGTAACACTGTACACTTTAAAAACAAATATAGCTCATAGCTTGTTGTTCCTTCCCCTCCCCCTGTAATTTGGATTACAGACCGGATGATTTAACTTTCCACTTTATACGGACTCACAGTTCGCGAGCTGATAGTATTTCAGCCCGTTTGAGGTGGATGGAGTAGCAGAGGTTGCGCGAAAGTCTCTCCAACTCTGTTGTGTTCCTACGGTTGAGGGTTACGTGCCCTTGCAGTGTTTTTGATGTTGAGTCCAGAAGAAGCTGTAAAAGTAGGTTGTTTGCCTTGATGGTTTTAGTAGTGCCCCTTCCGCCAATTCTCTCTAGTAGGTCCTCAATTTTTTGCATGTGTCCAATTCTGTAGACTCCAGCATTTGACATTTGAGTAGGAAATGGCTAATGTCCTCTTCCTCTTGCATACACAACAAGAAAGTCGTATCAACACTGTTTTTGTTGAATTTTGCCGCTCTGCATTGGAGGTTGTATGTGCTGGTGGCAAGTCGAGCTTTAATTTCAGCTGCCTTGACGTCTCTTGGTGACGTTCCGGTACTGGCCCAGATGTTGTGTGCCTTATACAGAGGTTGGTCTTGTATTTGGAGGTAGCGCAGTGAGGATTGTTTTTCCAGATTTTCCTCACAAGTTTTTTTTCCAGAGATCGTTGGTTGCTGATTTTAGCATCCGTTTCCATGTTGGTTTTTTGGGAGGATCTTCTAGAATGGACCACGCTGTTGGGAGGCTTTACTTGCCGAGGAGTTGCGCCGCCCTTGAGGCGAAGCATGAGCTGTCTTGGCTGTTCATCAAGAGTGATCTGCGAAGGATGGCATATTCGACAGCTTCTGCGTTTCTAGCAATGTTGACGAGGAAAGTCATGATGTTCTTCTCCAGGGTAATGCTGATTGGTTCAGCGCCAATTAGCGTGTATACAGCTGTGCTGGCTGTTGCCGTTGGTAATCCCTGGAGTTGCTTCAGTATCTTCCTGTGTGCCTTTTCGATGTTTTCCCTCTCTGTGATCGTTAATGTCATTACTTCTAGCCCATACGTTAGACGTGAGACAGCGTATGCTCTCCAGAGCTTGTGCGTGGCAGTTGGAGACATGCCCTTTTTTGCGTATAGCCCCGCCCCTAGCAGTGCATAGATGGTATTCCTTGCACATTTGATCCGTTCATTGGTATTCGCTTTGTTGGTTTTTGAGCGGATTATGTCCAGATGTTTTGCTTCCACTGATGGTGTGATTGAGGATTCCCCAAAGTTGACAGCTGACTCGCAGCTTTTGCTGTTTCCATATATAATCAGCTCCGATTTTGCAGCATTGATGGTGACTCGATCTAGCTCAGTATGGGGGTCTACGAGCTCCAGAATTGCTTCCATTTCATGGTGGTTATTTGCCAGAAGGGCGATATCGTCTGCACAAGTCGGGCGTGCGATGTTGATGTCACCGATGTGGGATCCCATGTCTGTGTTGGTAATACTGTCGGGGATGGTGTTGTTGTATACTTTATAGAGTGTTGTCGAAAGTTTGGCGCCCTGTTTGGTTCCTTGCTTAAGATGTACGTTGTTTGAGGTATTGTTTTCCCATTTTACTTTGATGTTGGAGTTCTTGTACATGTTCCGTAGGAGTATCCATAGTGGTCCTTTTACCCCTGCTTGGTATAGTTTGTTGAATAAAATTTCGTGGTTTACGGTGTCAAAGGCTTTTTGGGCGTCCAACGTCACAAGAAACAACTCCTTTTGGTTTTCCTTTGCGTCTATAATAGCTTCCGAAATCATGAGTGCAGCTCCTAGGGGGAGACACCAGCTTAAATCCTCTTTGGAGTGGATTTTGCTTTTGGTTCAGTATTTCCTCCAGCCTAACCTTGATAATTGCTTCGAAGACTTTAGAGAACACGTTTGTGACGGTGATACCTCTATAATTAGATGGAATTGTCTTGTCCTTTCCTTTTTTGAGGATCGGTGTAAGGATCCCCTCTTTCATGGGTTGAGTTATGTCCAAGTTTTGTAGCAGCTTGTTGAATGTTTGAGTTAGTGCTGTTGTTAACTCATGTCCTGCATACTTTAGGTGCTCTGCTGAGATGCCATTTGCGTCCATGGCTTTTCCAGAGTTGAGGTTCCTAATGGCCGTCTCTACTTCATTTTCCGTGATTACTTGGATCTTTTCATCTTTTGATAATTCCGTTTCCATGATGATGTCGTTTTGGATTTTTGATAACTTTTCCCTGGTTAGATCTTGGTTGTTTGTTTCTGGCCGGGTGGCCAATTGCTGAAAATGCTTTTCCCATTGATCTAGGATTTCGAGTGGCTCAGAGTAGACGTTGTTGTTAACTTGAATGACTTTGGTCGTTGAGGAGCCCGATGTCCGTTGCTTATTTACGAGTTTATGGAATAACTTGCTGTCTCTTGAAGACGATTCCATAATGTCTCGATGGAGTTGATCCCGTTGTGCCGCATATGCTCTTCTTTGTAGCGCTCTAACTCTCCTTTTTAGCCTTGTCCCTTTCGTCCGGTGTGCGAATGCTTCTGTCTCGCTTTTACATTTCCTCAGTCTTGTTTGAGCTTTTTTGGATTCTTTTATGGCTTCAGCTATGTCCTCATTCAGTATTGCCTTCCCCATCTTTTTCATTGTGACGACTTTCCTGTATTTTGGAATGGAGACCTCTCCTGCTTTGTGTAGCGCTTTCCTTTAGGTCCTTTAGGTCTTTTTCTGGGCTGTTTCCGCGTGGGTTAGCGATAAGAAGATCGAGGTCAATAGCCAGCGATTCCTGATATTTTTCCATGTCGCATTTATTCCAGTTGGGTTTTAGTTGAGTTCGATGTGGCTGCAGTTTAGCTTTGGAGATGGAGATTGGGGAGATTTCGATGAAGATAGGTACGTGATCCGATGTGTTTGTATGATCCATGTCAGAGATGTAGACTGGTGGCTTCCGAAACTCTCCTTTGGCTGGGAGGAGGAAGTGGTCAATGTGAGAATTTGACTTTCCGTTGTGGTTGTGGTAGGTTGGTTTGTTCGTTGCTGCCGCAGAGAACAGGTTGTTTTTCTCATTGAATTCCTCGAAAGCGGAGTCTCTTGGTGATTGTTTCCTTTTCGGCATGGCATTCATGTCTCCGGCAATGATCCCTGAGTGCGACATGCTGTATTTGTCCAGAATTTCCTGTAGCTGACCGAGTGTGTCCCTGTATTCCGACATGTCGCTGCTGGAGGGCATGTATACATTTACGAGGCATAGAGGCTTTGAAGTCGTGTTGATTTGGATGACGATTATTCGGTTACCGCGAGTTGTATTCTGGGTTGATTTTGGATGTTCATGCTGCCTATATAGTATTGCGAATCCTCCATATCCTCTCCTTTTGTTGAAGGCTACTTCAGGATTGTCGTCGTCTACGGATTTTATCGACGAGTTGTATTCTGGGTTGATATCTCTCAGGAAAGATTTTTCTTGAGAGAACTGCCAGTGCTCCTGGATTGCGAGAATGTCACATTTTTTTTTATGGTATCCTGTACATATTGGGCATTTGATTTGATGTTTTGGATGTTCATGCTGCCTATAGAGATTGCCTGCCCGTTGTGTTTTGGCTCGGCCCTGACCTAAAAAATGCTGCTGATTTTTCCGTTGTGAGTCTAAGGCGATTTGTAGTTTTGGCTGGTTGCAGGATTTTCGGTTTGTTTGTGTAGTCGGGATCTGGTCGTTTTCTGTTATGTTCACCGGTGGGTTTTCGTTGCTTACATGGTTCCCCTCACGTTTGTTTGTAGGCTGCGTCTGCGGCTCTGGGATGGTACAGTATTCGCGAGATGTCTTGGTAGGAAGTGCCTCTCCTTGGACCTTATTTATGTCTTCTTTGTGCCCCCTCATCTCAGCATGTCCTTGAGGGACACCCCTTTGAGAGGAAGCAGGCCCCGTGCCTGTACATGGGTTGCTATTTTCACTTCCCCTGATATTAGGATAAGATGTCGCCTTTTGCATTCCGTGTCTGTACTTCCATGGTCCTTGATTTGGCTGCAGTCCGGGGTGCAGAGGGGGGTAGGTACCGTTTACTTGCATCGTGCCCTGGTTAGGCCGGCTTCCCGATATATGGTTGCTTAGTGCTGGTGGCGGGATTATTTGGTGAGCAGGAACTTGTTGTGGGATTATCGGCACACAATGAGGGTGCATGAGTGGGTGCTGATATGGGCGTAGTGGCGGTGTCACTACGTTTGGAGGACCTATCTGCATGAAGGCCATTTGCGGTGTGAGGTAACTAGGCACATAGTCCGGTACCCTCGACTGTTGGGACGTTATCAAGGTGAATGTCAGGTGCTCCTTCTAGATGCTTATATAGTTCTTTCCTGAAAATCTCATATGCTGCTGCTGAGAATTCCATCATGAAGTTTTGGCTTTTATTTTCCATCCTGAAATCCACCAGACGATTACAGGCCTCGACCTTTTTTCTGATTGCCTTTTTACGGTCAAGTTTGTAGTTAGCATTATTTGCTGGCGAGAATATTGAGTTTGGGGTTCTTTTTCGGAGAGGCCTTGTACGAGTGCTTTCGCAGAGGGCAGCATCATTTGAAGCAATGGCTAGGGGCTGAGTATCAGAGGGTTCGTCAACACTCCCCCCAGAGGCAGACATCCCTTTCACCGACTTCGCGTTGATTTCTGCAGGCTTCATGTTTCAGTAACAGTCAGTCAGGGAATGCTAAACTACTATACAAAGTTTATATAAAGTGCATGTGGTGTGTAAATAAATACCAATCGCTATAAAAGCGATAAAAACAGTAAACTTGTGCAGGAAACTTGTGCTGTAACTTCGAGTACGTCTTCTCAACCGGAAACCGGAAACAGATTCTGATCTGCGATAGAATCATGATCAATCGTGTTAAGCTCCTCCCATCGCACTTAAGGATGTACTCTTCTGAGGTTTCAATCACGTTCAAGTCTCGTTTTGATCTGGTGTAATGGGTTTATGTAATATTTAACATCTTATGATCAAGTTTATTAGCAAACACGCATCTAAAAAATATGTCAAAAAACTAGATGCCTGTTGTTTGTAGAACTTTTTTTACAAGAATTTTGAAAAATTACCAATTCGGCAGCCATTTTGAAAATGTGTATTATTGTGTAAATCTTGTGCTTCAAAAAAGGCCAAATTTTCACCTTTTTTGGGCACTAGATTGATCACTTAAATTGTCATTGTGTCGCCATTTTTAATTGTAGCAGGTTCATTTTTTCTGTACAACTTTATAATGTTCAATATGATAAAAATAATATGCAACTAACTGGAAAATTATACATTATTGATATTTCTTTTGCGTATTTAGTGTAACTGAAGCACTTTTGATTTTTGACCCCGAAAAAACTAAAAATTAACACAAATGATAATGGGACAAAAAAAGAAGCACACTGACCCCCCATTTTTGTAGATGTTTTAAAAAGAGAAACACGTTTTCATTTAATTCATTAAATATTAAAAAAAGTTAAATACCAGAACTTTTTATATCAAGCGTTTAATCTGTAAAAAAATGGGAAAAAATGAGTATTTTTTCATTAAAAAATAGGGGGTAGGGGTAACTAAAATCGGCTTTTCGAGTTAAAACAATAAGATTAAGAAATTTTACTTCCATAATTTAAAAGAAAATAATATTTTCAACAATTCTACAAACATTTATACATATCTGATAACACACTTGGAAGAAATTGCATGAATTTGTTCAGCAAGTGGTCAAAACCCAAAAAATCACCTAAAATCACATGTTGTGGTAAATTGGTATCTTTCACCGATCCTAGCACAAAAACGAGCACACGGACATATGTTTTTTTTTTGCATTTCCTACTATGCCATTTACTCCTTTTTCCAAAAATCCATATAAGAAAAAAAGTTTATTACAGGAAATTTTTGACTTCTCAAAGGTGTACATCCTTAAGCCATGCCCCGTTTCAAACCAAAACAATATGGCGTCAAGCTCGCCTCTAAGCGAAATCCCGCTGATAAGGCTAGCAGGCAACAGAACAGAAAGTAAACGACCGATGAAATGTATTTGTTGAATGAATTAAAAAGTAAAAAGTACTCATTCCTTTGTCTTACCTCCATTTATTACTGAAACGTTCATTCCATCCGCGTGAAGGCATATATTTAGATCCCAAATCAAATGAAACATTTCACATGTGTCGTATGCATTTACACAAAACTCTTCACAAATCTATACAAATAAACTCCGATTTTGTCGATAAGCACAGATTGGTATGCATACTGACATGGAAATGTAAGAACTTGGTCAATATCAATCCAAATGTGTCGTATAAACTTCGGTAACAGGACGTTCACGAACAATCCAAATATTCCGCCTCGTCAACATACAGATCGAGCGCTCGCCAGTATGGGCGAGGCCAAATGACCGACTTTTGAAAGCTTCTTTCCGATTGGTCAGTCCGCTGCAGATTGACACGTCGCCAGTTCAGGTCACAAAGTATTTTACTACGTACTTTTGTACAAGGAAATACAAATGTTTCTAAACATATTAGCGTAGGTGTGTTAGAATGGGGATAGTACGTTGTTTTTCGTGTCTATACTGGCGATTAGAACATGAAATTTGGGTTAAACTCTCGACCTATCGGTCTCGAGTTCAAACCCAAATTTCATGTTCTAATCGCCAGTGTAGCCACTCAAAACAACGTACTATCCCCTAAATATTCAAAGTATCATTTGCCATTATAAACCATAACAATTGCCCCCCCCCCCCCTCCTTCCCCAGGGGGGAAACGCGAGACCCCAGGGTCATGAAATTCACAATTTTGGTAAAGCACCTTAAGACCCTTCCATTTATGAAGAGTATTTGATTCTACCATATCTGGGTCTTGAGAAGAAGATTTTTGAAATTTCAGTCAATTAAATCCTTTTTGGCCCCACCCATCAGCCCCTGGGGGTCAGTCAGGGTTGATATGTGCATACCATCAAACTGCTATCCAATACTGATAATGCTAACCCAAATTGAATTACTTCCAATGGCAATTAAACAAATATTAGTCCAAAATGTGATTTCCTTATGTAAACTATAGTAAAGTTTACCCCCTCCCCAGGGGGAAACGTGAGACCCCAGGGTCATGAAATTCACAATATTAGTAAAGCACCTTAAGACCCTTCTATCTATGAGGAGTATTTGATTCTACCATATCTGGATCTTAAGAAGAAGATTTTTGAAATTTTAGTCAATTTTACCCTTTTCGGCCCCGTCCCTCATGCCCCTTAGGGCTGGGGACCATATAATTCAAAATTATAGTTGACCTTTGGCCATTGAAGGTTTCTGCAAAATTTCATCGAAATTGGTGCAGGGGTTTTGGAGAAAAAGTCGAAAATGTAAATTGTTTACGGACGCACGACGGACGACTAACGAAGGATGCCGCCGGACAAAAGGCGATCGCAATACATGTAGGTCACTAAAGT